CCTGCCCGCGGCTGGAACGTGAGGCCTCTAAGCTGCCCGTTTGATTTTCCCAGGGACAATGTTGAGTGGTCGGAAGAGCAGGCCGCGGCGGCGGAGAGGAAAGTCCGGGAGAACAGTACCCAGCGAGTGTGCCAGGAGAAGCAAGGTGCGCCCAGGTGGACCCTCGGTGGTATCTGCAGCCAGTGTACTGCTGAACGCACTGTCCACGAGAGGCAGAGAACCGAGACCGCCAAGAGTCTTTGTTACTGGACTGATACCGAACTCGGGGGTAGAACGGGAGGCGGGGGGGGTGGTGGGTTAGGACGGAAAAGGGCGTCACCCTAAAATCTTGTTAGAGCAAACAGGGACTTTTGTTTAGGGCTTTATTTGAGAGTAAGTGTATCTTGATATTTTCTAGCGATTAAGTTTTAGTTACGTTGTCTAGACCCATGTTAATGTGACTCGCCTTCGTCAACCGTGTGGTCACGTGATTGGCTTAGAGGCTGTGCTTTCTCTATGTGATTGCACTTTTACTGAGGAAATGTGATTGAAGCTAGTTTCTAGTGATCTGATTCCCAATGTTGTTGGGGGAGGAAGCCAATGACTGGTGAATGTGTCTTTTCTTCGCTGTGAGGATTTAAGGCTTCTGCCGAGGAGAGCTGGGTGAAGCAGAGTGTAGATAAGTCTGGCCAAAGAAAAAGAGGCTCCTTCTGGAGAGGTGGATGATTTCACTGCAGAATATCTCTGGGTACTAAAACTAGTACTGATTGGGCCTTTTTCCTAAAAGACAATTGAAAGTAGGACTAGAAACTGAGAGGGTAGCAATCCCACAGTTCAGTGTAACAATTAGAAGATTCCAGTTGCAAAATACTCACTTTACATGCTTTGACAGAGACTAGATCAATGCAGGTTAGAGTTGAAAGGGATTTTGAAAATCATGTAGTCCAATATCCTCTTTTTACAGTTAAAGAAACTTGGACCACAGGACATTAAGTGCCTTTCCCAGAGGTAAGCAGTTAGTTAGTAGTAGCAAGGGTGGAACTAAAATCCAATTTCTTAGATTTGTATTCATTTCTACTACACTAGTCAAGGTCTGGCAAAGAACCAAAAACTGAAGCCTTAAAAAAAAAAAAAAAAAAAAAAAGAGGGGCGCCTGGGTGGCGCAGTCGGCTAAGCGTCCGACTTCAGCCAGGTCACGATCTCGCGGTCCGTGAGTTCGAGCCCCGCGTCAGGCTCTGGGCTGATGGCTCAGAGCCTGGAGCCTGTTTCCGATTCTGTGTCTCCCTCTCTCTCTGCCCCTCCCCCGTTCATGCTCTGTCTCTCTCTGTCCCAAAAATAAATAAACGTTGAAAAAAAAAAAAAAGAAAGAAAGAAAAAGAAAACAAAACTCAAGTCTAACACTGCCTTGATCACCTTAGACTACAGCGTAAACAGTCTACCCTTCTCAAGTCTCTCCTGTCCTCCATCATCAAAACTCTTCTCATCTGAAGACATTTTTCTCTCTTGTCTGCATTTCTCCTTTCCTTTTAGCCTTGTTTCTATTTTTTAGTATCTTGTGGTATTACTGAATTCATTTCTTAGCTCCACACTCTATGAAGAGCCACAGACGGGAGTGTATTTTAAGAAGAGCTGCATGCATCATAACCATTGAGTTTACATGGGGAATAACTGAAGAACCTGGGACGTTTCACTTGTAAAAGAGAAAATTTAGAGGTGGAAATAACTGCCCTTAAATGCAAGAGTTGTTCTGTATGGCCCTAAGAAGTAGTAGAACTTTAAAAAAAGAAGAAGAAATGAAATAGGACTTTTTGATCAAAAGACAGATTTTTTGCTTAATGTTAGAATTTTCTAGTAGTTAAGAGCCACCCAAAGATGTGGGTGGAGAATTGGTAGTAAGTTCGCTGGCAGAAGCTGGACGCCCTAGAAGGACAGGATGCAGAGAGAGTTCAGGTAGGGTACGTAGTAGGACTAAAAGATTTCCAGCTCTGAGACAATGGCTCTGCTTGAGGATACTTTTAGTATAAAATGACATCCAATGAGACAGAATGGTATATGACATTAGGGACAAATAAAATCCTGAGAGATGGTTTTTTAAACTCTTCCCTTAATGTTCACAGTTGATTATGAAATAAATGCCCACAAATATTGGAATGACTTCTACAAAATCCACGAAAACGGGTTTTTCAAGGATAGACACTGGCTTTTTACCGAATTCCCAGAGCTGGCACCAGGCCAAAGCCAAGATCACTTGGAGGATTTGCCCTCCGACAACAAGAGGAGTGAAGTACCTGAATGTGGGACCAGTGAGGATGGACCTGGTTTAAAAATAGAACAGCACAAGTGTTCTTCAAATAGTCTTGAACATGAAACACAGACAGCTCCTGTGGAAGAAAATGTAACTCAGAAATTCAATCACCTGGAAATCTGTGCTGATGAGTTCCCTGGATCCTCAGCCACCTACCGAATACTTGAGGTAACCCCCCTTTATTGTCCTGATAATGGGGTTAATGAGGCTGTCGTACACGTGGGTGGCCTAGGGAGGCTGACCACAAAAGTGGTGAAGAAGGTGCCTAGACTTGACTCCTATATTGGCCTAGAAACACCTCCTTTTTTTTTTTTTTTTTTTTTTTTTTTTTTTTTTTTTTTTTTTTTTAGCTAACGTTATGTACTAAATTCAGACCAGATATTTGGTGGTTGTAGCACACAGATACATCACCTGGGGTGCTACTTGGGAACATCGTACTGCCCTGAACGTTGTAGCATCGTGCTGTACCTACCACCTAGAAAAGGGTCCCAAGTCACAAGACAAAGTCTTTTACTTCTCTTGTAATACAGTTAGAACATGGAGGGGTTAGTTGGGAGGGTGCCTGCTTCTCCGGCATGGGAGAATTCTTGTCTTCCTAGTTGGGGTGATGTGGCTGAGGCCAGACGGTGACTATACACTCCCCCAGAAGCAGATTACCCTAGGGTTGAGTATACTTCCCGCATGACCTTGTCAGTAGTCCCTTACCCTCCCCAGGCGGAACGGGACCTCTGCCTCTCTGTCTGCCTCATAGTTACGAGGATTGCATACATTGAGGTAACATATGTAAAATGGCTTAGAATCGTGTCTGGCAAGTAGTGAGTCCTTAGTATACGGTGGTTGTTTTTATTATTACCACACCCAGACTAATCTTATTTGTGGTCCCCTTTTCATAAATTTTTCAGCTTAGTCAATTAGAAACATTTTTTCCAGTAATGATATAGTGCAGTTCAGTAAGAAAATATTTCATCTATAGGACTGTTTGCTAAAACTGAAAAAGTAAAAGCAATCTATGCCCTTTTTTCCATACCAACTCCCTTCTGCTGTTGAAAGCCCATGCTTTCAAAGTCTTCTATGGCTGCCTCTTTTAGACTTTCTGAGGTCAAGGTCAGGGAACGGCATGGGTACTATTTAGCTCTGGTCACCACACCTTCCCTAATGGAGTTAGGAGGCAAGATTATTGATTATTTATCTAGCTCCAGGAATTAAATTTTTTTTTTTTTAATTTTTTTTAATTTTTTTTTTTTAACATTTATTTATTTTTGAGACAGAGAGAGACAGAGCACGAACGGGGGGAGGGCCAGAGAGAGAGGGAGACACAGAATCTGAAGCAGGCTCCAGGCTCTGAGCTGTCAGCACAGAGCCTGATGCGGGGCTCGAACTCACGGACCGTGAGATCGTGACCTGAGCGAAGTCGGACGCTCAACCGACTGAGCCACCCAGGCGCCCCAGGAATTAATTTTTTGGAAAATCCTGTAACTAAAAGTTCATTTCTGTCTGCAGGTTGGTTGTGGTGTGGGAAACACAGTCTTTCCGGTTTTACAAACTAACAAGTAAGTGTGTTTAAAGTTTAACTGTGTGACCGCACAGAGGAGAAAGGGCTGTGTTGTTTCTCAGAACTTACTCCAGCAAACTGGCAACAGTGGTTATTGGGCACCATGGGTGACGGGAGATCGGATTTATGGTCTGGATTTTTTTTTTTTTAATGGTCTTGATTTAATTTGATTTCTAAGTTATCTTTGTCATCAGGAAAATTAGTAAGATTCAAAACCTGTTCCATTGTTAATATATGGTGTCTTTAATATTTTAACCTCTGCTACACAGGAAAGAGAACAGACACAATTCACTTTATAGTCTTAATCGTTCTACTGTTTTTCTGCCCATTTCAGTGATCCAGGACTCTTTGTTTACTGTTGTGATTTTTCTTCCACAGCTATAGAACTGGTCCAGGTGAGTGTAATTGCTCCTATCCATCATTTTCACTGGTTAGAGGGGAAAACGTCTTCTAAAAGTCAGGGTCTCTAGCAATGTTTTTAATTCTTGTGTTTTTTTAATTTTTTATTTATTTTTTAGAGAGGGAGGGAGGGAGGGAAAGAATCCCAAGCAGGCTCCGCACCAGCAGTATGGAGCCCAGTGTGCGGCTCGAACTCACAAGCCATGAGCCAAAGTCAAACATTTAACCCACTGAGCCACCCAGGTGCCCCTTTTATTTCTTATTCTTATGTGGTCCGAAAGTAAGAGATTTACAGGCAGCAGTAGCGGAAAAAACTAAACATGAATACAGAACCTCTCACTGGCCAGCTGTGGAACTTTGGGCCTGTCTCCTGACCTCTCCAAACTTTCCTTTTAAGGATTGAAATGAGAAGACTGTGTCTAGTCAGAATTCTTTGAATTATAAGTCACAGAAACATCTAGACAAACTCAGCCAGTGAAAGAAAGAGAAGGTCATGCAACCCAAGGACGTAAAGTGTAGCCAGGACTGTAACTGAGCCCTAAAAAGGTGGCAGATACCAAGGCAAGTTGACTAGCCAGTAAGATGGCACCACCCTCTCCTCCTCCTATCACAGTACCTCCCTCAAGTTCATGGTTTCCTATCAATCATAGCTCAGTGCCCATTTGTCCTTTGTTTGTTCTCTGTTTACAGACCAACTTTCTGTAATAGGTTTTTCCTGGTTTTACATATGATCCTGGCATGCTCACCCTTACCAGTCCACCCTGTTCAGCGTTCTCAGAGCCTCACCACAATGACTTGTCCTGATTCCAAAGTCCCCAGGAATAGTCTGATTGACCCAGCCCAGCTGATAATCTACTTGCCTTGTTTGAATTAGCGGGGGACAATGAGGAATAAAGTCACATTTTTGGAGAAGAGATATGGAAAGGGAAATTACCCTAAAATGTGTCTGTTACAATCATGTCTAATGCTTGTAGCAGAGGAGCTCCAGAATTGGTAGTTGTGTCTTTCTGGAGTTACTTTCATGGATCCAGACCAGGTGAATATTGAGGCTTATCTTTAGTTAGTTTTGGGGTTTTTTAGTTAATTTTATGGTAATAAAATATACAGTTAAATTTTCCACATCTAGAGACATAGGTTTTCCTGGAGAATTCTGTGGTCTGTGTAATATGGTATAGTTGAGTTGGGAGTTGTTTTAAATCGTGCTCTTAAATGTTTAAATGTCTGTATGTTTTATCTCTCTCCTGATGGGGGTTTTATTTTTCCTTATGGCCACTTACCTTCCTGATGATTTTCCAGTCTTCAAATCTAACTCTGCATCAGAGTAAAGAATAAAAGTAGAGGAATGAAGAACTCTAGTTTTAAAAGTACCGGTTAAGGGCACCTCGGGCTGGCTCAGTCAGTGGAGCATGCAACTCTTGATCTTGGGTTGCAAGTTTGAGCCCCATGTTGAGTGCAGACATTACTTAAAACAAAAATCTTTTTTTAAGTTTATTTATTTATTTTCAGAGAGAGAGAGAAAGCACGAGGTAGGTAGGGGCAGAGAGAGAATCCCAAGAATCCCAAGCGGCACTCTCAGTGCAGAGCCCAATGTGGGGCTTGAAGACACGATCTCTGAGATCATGACCTGAGCCAGAGTCGGACACTCAACTGACTGAGCCACCCAGATGCCCCAAAACTAAAATCTTTTAGAAATAAATAAACAAAAGTACCAGTTGGATTCCACAAGCTCCTCTCTGGAATCGTTCAAGAATCTTAACCTTTGAGTAAGATTGCGTGCCTTCATGATTAGACCGATAACCCTCAGTGGGCAGTAGCTGCAGTTACACTTAAAGCAAGATAAGATTTCCTTGAGGCCGTGTGAATGTGTGTGTGTGTGCGCGTCTGTGTGTGTGTGAGAGAGAACATTTTCTAACCTGTGTGTCTCTCAACTGTCTGCAGACAAATTCAGCATATGATCCCTGCCGGTGTTTTGCCTTTGTTCACGACCTGTGTGATGAAGATCAGAGTTACCCAGTGCCCACGAGTAGTCTTGATATCATCATCCTCATATTTGTTCTTTCTGCAGTTGTGCCAGACAAGTAAGTGTGAGGTCCTTTCACCAGCAGTGTAACAAAAACAAAGCGTTCGTCAAAGTTGGGCCCTGAGTAAGAAGGATCCTCTGATAGGCAGGGAAAAGCCACTCTGTCAAAGTGTTACGAGTGTCTCATCCCTTTTCCTAGATTTGCAAGTTCCCAACTTCTCTTTCAGCCTCTAAACCTCTGCCTGTTGACTGCAGTGATTGGTCATCGTTCTGGTTTAAGATCCTTAAGGAATGGGAGAGAAGTCTTTAGTGGCTGTGTTTTTTTAATTTTTCTTTTAAGTAATCTCTGCACCCAGCGTGGGGCTCGATCCCAAAACCCCAAGACCAAGAGCCACACACTGTACCCACTAAGCTAGCCAGTCACCCTTCATTGGCCTTTTTATTTTTTTTATTTATTTATTTATTTATTTTTTTTTTTTTCAACATTTATTTATT